GGGTCACCCGGGTTTGACCGGGCTGTTGCCATAGCCGGTCTTTTATTAAACCCGAACCGGTCCAGGCACCAGGTCGGCTGGGTCCCGGGTTGACCCGCCGGGCCGGGCCGGGTTTAATAACACTGAAAAAAACTAGGTTGGAAAAAAAGTTTTGTTTTGCAAACTTTTCAACTAAAAACCCAGTCAATATAAGATACAGATGTGAAGTTGAAAACTGGAAAAAGACATAATCTTGATTATTGAAGCTGATTAATTACATGCTGCAACATGAAGATCTAAGGGGAAAAAATGGTGCCTTCAAGGTACTGTGAAAATCCACAGTAGTTATGAGTCTATAACTGCAGTGAAATCAGCAAACATTCTAGTTTTTTGTTAATGATATCTGACAGCATTCTGTCGGTTTCTATAGTGGAATTACTTCCATGGCTTGAATAGCTTCTGCTGATAAACTTGCTAGAAAGTGCATATTGAAGAGATCAGTTTCAGCTCTCAAGAGAAATTTTAAATCACAATGCAACCTATTGCTAATATATCATTCCCCTTCCTTCTCCTCAACTCCTCCTTGATTCTGCTTCCTACATAGTGAGCTAGACTTCTTAAGCTTAGATCACAGGAGCAGAAATTGTAAGTTCGAGAAGTGTGTTTAATTTGGCTCTGTAACGAGCCCAGATATCTGAGGGTCAACAGCAATTCTACCATTTCCGCCACAGGCATCCATAAACATTGAAGGAGCAAAACAGTGAGAATGAGCAAGTTAACTGTTCCGCCTGCGGAAAATCCTGCTCAGCTCCGACTTATGGTTGCATCGCATGTCCCTGTATTGCTGAGATTAAATGTGTGATCTCAGTAGTATGTTCAAATTAGAATATCTGTTCCAGAAATGACAGATATTTCAAAAGAAATGGAGGAATTAACAAGGAAATTTGAGGCACTAAAATGGAAACTCGAGGAGCTAAAGGGGAAATGTAAGCGTATCACATCAGCAGAATCTTCAAAATCCAGATCGAGAGAGGAGGGCTTGGAAAAAGCTTTGGACCTGAAGTGTGTTAGGAAATTGTCATTATTGTGGCAGCCACTCCACTCAACGTGTACAAGTGGGAGCACAAATTATGGCATAATTTTTACCATGTTTCATGGCTTTATTGTCCCTTCCATGTTAACAATAAAGCTGGAGGAGCTCACCATATTTGCCTATAAAAAGACATGATTTTACGAGAGCAAAATGAGAGAAAGTGTGTGGTGAGTGTGTGTAAGAGAATAAAGAGAAAAAAAGAGTTGCAATGACAGCAGCTGCAAAGGCAGCTATAAGAGCTGAGAGTTAAGTTAGAGTGAGTGTAATCCTCCTCTTTCATGTATTTATTTTGTATTCTTTTTTTTATCTCTAATAATATCGACTCTCCTGTGGATGTAGGTGATTTTCTGAACCACATTAAATATTGTGTTAGTGTGTTTGGCCTCCTATGAGCAAATATCAGTACATCACCGGTCGGATTCCCAATACTTGGTATCATAGCACATGGTTTAAAGTAGTGTTTGAATTTGCTCAAAAATGAAAGTTGTCAAAATTGTATTTTGACCATACCACTGTGTAGAGGAGGAAGAGACGAAGCCACTGTTAAAAATCACGTCGAAATTGGACATCAAAATCATTGTCATGCGCTGGCGAAGTGGTTGGCCACCCGCGCAGATGCGCGCCACGCGTCTTCTTCATCCAAATGGGCTGACCCGACCCGAATATTAGACCACCTGACCCACGTGTCGGATTTGGATGATGATGAAATCATCATAACGTCAACATGCAACGTGGCATGTCATGTCATCAACATATCAGCAGCCACGTCAGTACTGTGGGACCCACCTGCTACGTCATCAGACGCGAGCCGATACTGAGCCGAGCCGAGTCGATCTGAGCTGAGTCGAGCTGAGCCTTGAGTTGAAGGAAAGGATCCAGTGTAGCTGATCCTACGTGCAACCGGATTTGAGATTCAATTTGGACCGTTGATCAGACCAAAATTGTTTTGATCAAATTTTAGCCGTCTGAAGTGCGATTTGTACGATTTCAAACTTGTTTCCAGCTAACTTGATCATTTCGGATGCAATGGTATGGTCCGATCATTGAGATTGAGACCAGAAATAACGATGGTGAGTTATTAAAGAGAGATTGCCCGATCAGGAGGCATTTGAAGGTCATCATGGTGGTTGATGGAGATAAAGAAGAAGAAATCACACATGTTTGCCCAATTACATGTGTTGAACTATTATGTGAGGAATTTTAATTGCCTTGAGGGAAGGCTAAATTGGGACACTCTAGACACCCAATCATGTGGACAGTTTGAGGTGGAGAGTGAAATTTGATGAAGACCAATCTTGACGAATCTAAGCACTGGTAATCTCGCCAGATGTTGAGAAATCAGGTATAAAACAAAAATATTCCAGATCACTTGCAAAGAAAAGCTGCGACAAAGCTAGCAAATGGTTGTATATACGAAAGATAGTACCATGGATAAATGTGGCTTAATAAGTTATGGTTAGGAGATTGGGTTTTAAGCGGGACCGTTGTGACCCCTCCAATCTTTCATGGGAACTTGCTTAGTGGAAGGATTATCCATATGGTACTATTTTCATATATGTGACAGTTTGTTATGAAACTGTTGAAGACTAGCAGGATGACGGCAACAAGGAACAGTTGAGTTCTGTATGATCAAGGATCTGATGGAGTGGTGATTTCTCCAAGAAAGTTAGATTCGATAACTGTAATTTCTCGAGGGGAGAATTGATGAAGACCCTGATAATGGAAGAGAAATACAGTAAGGGAATAAAGATTGGCATCCTATTTTGACTTGGATAAGTGTTGTGACAAGATGAGCTACTATCAAACATAAGCAATGAATAGGGAGAAATCTGGAGAACAACAATTGCACGAGGGCACACGGAGATTGGGTAGGAGTACTCAAAGGATCCAACGAGGTACTGTAATGAGACAATAGGTGCAAGGAGAAGAAGAGTTCCTAGATGAAGCTTAGAGCAGAGACTATATGAAGGTAGTACAACAGGAAGTCTCTTGTGCTCTTGATGAAGGCAACAGGCGAGGACCTTTTAATGCATGCAAGGATGGAAAGATGAGCTATTATAGATGTACCTAATTGAGGGGTTGGGACCGCCTATGATGAAAGGCGAAGACATCAAAGAGAGTTGGTGTGGGTGGATCTGTCAAGAAGAAAGGCGTACAAGCTCCAAACATAGAAATTGAGATGGATGATTGCGATGAGTGTGCCGCAACTCTCTTTTTATATGATCAGTGGCAGTGATCTCTCCCATAGTCCACATAGTGGTAGAGAATTTTTGGAGCCACTTTGAAGCGTCCTAGCTGAAGGAGGATATGACCGCCTATGAGAGGAAAAAACACCTTAAATAAAAGGTGCGAGGGTCATAAGATGAGCCCAGGATCAGACCGCCTCATGATGACGAGTAGAGATACCTCAGGAGAAGGTGTGAGGGCCATGATAGAAGCCCTAGTTCAAAATGCCCCAGAGCCGATGTGGTGGCTAGATATGAGTGGATAGATGGATAGCCAATGAAGTGGCTATGATGAGTATGGAGACAAAAGCCGGATTGACTTTCATGGATATTGCCCTCATGCTAAAGATTAATGAGCTAGAAAACATTTGCCTTGGACAATAAATGGATGACTTGTGGAGCATTAAGAAGCGACTACTATGTAGGAGTTGAGGGCATGCACAGGTTCCTGAAACAAGTTGACTCTTGTCAAGGTGGTGAGCTCGATAATGATATTGTAATACTCAGAGTATGAAGACAGATATGGATCAACCTTTTATGGTCTACCCCTATCGTTAAAGGTGGAGAGCTACCTGGACTCTGGAGACTAAGAGCGAGAGACTCATGAAGAAGTAAGGCGTGGTTCCTAAGGTGGAACAGAAGGTAGGCGCAACTCCTGGATGAGTAGACTCTTAGAAGAGTGGTGGGCTTGTGATCACATTAAGATACTCAAATAATGACTGTCACACTTGGAAATAGAAATTTCTATTTGAGGGGGTGTTGTAAGCCTTGGTATGAGGCTTGATAAATCATTCCGGACCGAGCATGGTTGATACGCTCGAAGGGGAATATTATGTCCTAGAGACAAGCATTAACACTCTTCAGATGTGATGTGGGAGACCATCTGGTTAAAGTGATCCTTTGGTGTGAGCAAGGGTGTGCTCAGGTCACTCTAGTGATTAAAAGGTTTGGCAAATACCTGTAAACTTGGTCATAGATGCTTTCGGAATGGTAAGCTTGGAAGAGCTGCAGGATGCAAGCTTGTGTTGATGAAGCAAGAGGACAATTGCCCACATAAATAGCAAAGGGAGTGATTATTAGGAAATTGTTATTATTGTAGCAACCACTCCACTCAACTTGTACAAGTGGGAGCATAAATTATAGGATAATTTTTGCTATGTTTCATGGCTTTATTGTCCCCTCCATGTTAACAATAAAGCTGGAGGACCTCACCATATTTGCCTATAAAAGAGGCATGATTTTATAGAGCAAAATAAGAGAGAGTGTATGGTGAGTATGCGTAAGAGAATAAAGAGAAAAGGAGAGCTGCAATGACAACAGTCTTGTTGCTATTGCAGCAATTGCAAGGGCATCAATGAGAGCTGAGAGTTGAGTTAGAGTGGATGTAATTCTCCTCCTCCATGTATTTGTTTTGTATTGTTTCTCTATCTCTAATAATATCGACTCTCCCGTGGATGTAGGTGATTTGTCGAACCACGTTAAATATTGTATCAGTGTACTTGATCTCTTATAAGCAAATATCAGTACATCACTGGTTAGATTCCCAATAAAGTAGAGGTAAGAGGCTACAGATCTGCTTTAATCTTCTAAATGTTCATCAGAACCTCCTGTCCCTTCAAGGAGTTCTCTTTTATCTTCATTTGACGAGGACATTTATATAAAATTTCATGAACACTATTGAAGCCACTGTGTGAGAGACAGGATAATAACGTGCGTTAGTAAGAATTTAACAAAGAATGGCAAAGCCATCAAGTGGCAACAATACTAATCAAACCTGCAATGGTCTTCTATGAAATCCGTGCTTCTTTCACCAAAGAAGAAAGAAAAAAAGGTGGAGTATCTTTAAGGCTGGCAGAAATAATGGGGCAGTGGATAGCAGCGTGAACGTAGAACAATTCTTAGATTCTGAAGTTTCATGATAGTGAGAAGTATAAACCTATAGAATCCTGGGAGAATGAGACGGTTGTCCATCTCAGGGATCACTTGTTCACCGGAAAAGTTACGTGTCGAAATGGGGATCTCAGTACTGAATCCACTTTGGAGGCACAGAGGGTTCGGAAGATATTGGGCAACTGAAAATCTAACAGAAAAATCGGAGGCAATCAAACCCCCAGGAGAGACGTATGTTGTTTTACTTGAACTGCAGCAAGTATTTAAGAAGATGGGGGACGGAGGAGAAGAGCCAATCTGCTGTAAATACAACACATCAGAATCTTACTGATATTACCTGGTTGAGGTCATCCATTTATCATCCGTTGAACCAGATTAGCTCCTTTCGATTGAATTGGGAAGGTTTGTAAACAAGATTGGTGAGAAGGAATGGTAACAAATCAAAATTTATGTCAGACTAAGACTAGCATGATTTAGTTATGAGAATCATTAATAGGAACAATTTGAAGATATTTTTTAAATTAGAATTGCAGTGGCTATTGGTATAATAATTACCATTTTTTGGTTACACAAGGTCACCACGGATAGTGAATTCTGTTCCATATTTTCACAAATTGTTGAGGTTGATGTATTATCTTTTGAGAAACTTTGTGAGCTCTCATAGCCATTGACACGGTATTTTTCTTGTCTATCAAAGCGAGGAATCTGTCCTGTACTATAATCATGATGTAGTTGATTTTGTAACAGCGGGGTGAATTGAAATTGTTAATTATTATTTTATTATAATTAAATGAGAATATGAGAATATATTGTAAATAAATTATATAAATTTCTTAACAGATATATTTTTTTATCAATAAAACAAGTTTAACCTTAAGAGAAGGTCATACTAAATTAAAATAAAAATTTAAAAAAATTATATTTTTTTATTCAATTATTAGATCTTACTTAAATTTTTATAAGAGTTTTGAGAAGTGTTTTTCCCTTTAGATACAGCTATGTTGTTTTGTATACTGTCGGATATTTAAATACCGAAAATCTCACTGAAATTCTATTAGTTTCAGCTGTTTTTATGATTTTTTATTGTTTTTTGTTTTTTGTTTTTTGTTTTTGTAATTTTAAATTTTTATTTTTGTTTTAAGAGGTAGAGCTTCTAGTGAATTTGAGGTTAATATCTAGAATTCTTTTTGCTCCTTAAAAAAAATGTGTTTTTTTTTATTATTATTTTTATGGTTGTCTTTAGCTTCCGTGGCATCAGTATAACATGGAGGTTGAGTAATTTTAATGTAGACATTCTGTAAAATTGCCATCTGCAGAAAATTGCCTCTTGCGAATCTTGTTCTCTCTCTTTGGCCGTCAATATCGCATCGCATTGGTTCAGCCAACCGGAAAGCATGACTTTTGTGCAAGTGAAGCTAGCCACCCACGTCTTTGTTCCTAGCCACCAAGGATTCTTTTGTTGATTGACATTAGTTGGAACAATTTCAATGATGAAAAAGATTATGTTTGTACAAGTAATATCAACGTGTTTAGCAGGAAAGCTAGAAAATTAACAGAGCGGAAAGAGCAAAAAGCATGAACAGGAGCTGAGGAAAGGGCAGAGAATAACCTTACTATCTTGACAAGTTTTTTTGACAGGAAGTAGTAAAGAAAGCTAAAGCTAAATTCTTAGGTAGTGCTAGATAGAATCTTAATCTGAATCTGAATCTGATGCTGCGTATAATTCTCTATATTAGCAATAGTTTTTCTTTATTTTATCATCATAAACCATACTCATTCTCTCATAGCTAGTCTTTGCTTCTGTTCCTCTCTGTTCAGCAACGATCTCTGCTTATCTCCTCCATCTTTTATCATCTCATATGGTATGAAATCACAACCTTATAGCAGCTTAATAGGTAACTTGGTAGAACTTTATGTTTCGTATCTATCTCTCTAATGACGGGTTTTGAGTTATGGTTTCATTTTGGTCCCTTCTTGCATCAGCAACCATGAGCCATTTTTCCTTTCTTTCTTTGTTCTTTTATTAAATGCAAATTATTATTATAAAATAACAGTGACAGTTAGATAGGGTTTGTTTTTTGAGCATACTAGTTTTTGCATGGAACTTCTGTAGGAAAATGGGAAGGAACAATCAACTGCGAGAAAGAAGAGCACCATATTAGTTGGACCATGGGGAGGGAATGGAGGGAATAGCTGGGATGATGGGATCTACCATGGAGTAAGAGAAATCACTATTGTTTATGATCAATGCATCGACTCGATCCAGGTTGTGTATGACAAGAATGGCAAGACTATCACAGCAGAAAACCATGGAGGTGTTGGAGGCAGTAGAACAGCTGAGGTTAGCTCCAATATTCTCACTCTCTTGTCACTGCCAACCACCTGACAGCGTCAAGTTCCTTGTTTTCTGACTGCTAACCATTACCTTTTGCTGTTCTTGCGTTTCAGATTAAGTTGCGATATCCGGAGGAGTACTTAACCAGTGTGAGTGGCCATTACTGCCCAGTAGTCTATGGTGGCAGTCCTGTGATTCGATCATTAACTTTCAGCAGCAACAAAAGAACATTTGGACCATTTGGAGTTGAAGAAGGAACGCCATTTACACTTTCAATGGATGGAGCATCGATTGTAGGCTTTAAGGGTAGAAGTGGATGGTATCTTGATGCCATTGGGTTTCGTTTATCTCGTATTCAATCCACCAAAGTTCTCAAAAAATTTCAACAAAAGCTTCGAAGGCTCACCAGTACGGTTTCAAAGTCCTCTGCCTCCAAGGATGCTGAAAAAACCTATTGAAGGTGGTGACCAAGCTTTGTGTGGGCTGTTTTAGTCAAACCTCGTGTTCGAATATTATTTGCTCATGTTAATTAGAATTGTTCTTAAACAGTAATCGAACGTTGTTCTTCTTCTTCTTCTTGTATTATTATGATTATTATTGAATAAGGAGGATATATGCCTCAGATGGATCATGCAGGAAGCTTTAGCAGAAACACTGTTAGAGCTACGCCTAAGAAAATGTTTGGTTGTACCAGAGGAATTGCTTGATATAAATACCATAACTTTTCTATATAACAAATTGTTTGATAGGGCTCAGATTTTTATATTAGATCTCAAAGATATTATTTAAGTTTTTTTTTTTTTGAGTTTTGTGCTTAATTTCAGATTTTATATTTTGTTTACTTTTCTATTTAGGATTGTGATTTTTTTTTTTAATCTTGCAAAGCTGTTTTTCTTTTTTTAAAAAACCAATTTAAGAAATTATAAACTAGATGGGCGAAACAAATTATAATTATAATTAAATAATTATAATACAAATTCAGGAAATCGTGTAAAAATCCAAGTCGACTTCAAATTTGTCCTTGTTTTCTTCGTTGTTTTTTTTTTTTTTTTTTTCATACGCCTTACGGTGATTGGTTCTCCTAAAAATAGAGGCTATGACCACGATTGAATAACATTAAGCTTATAGTTCGGGAGTTATGACACCCCTAACCATTGTCAACGACGGCTTATCTATTTTAATCCTAAATGTTTTGATATTTTATCCCTTAATTTAAGAAATCTCATTTTGTTTTGAGAAAAATTGATAAAGATTTCCTGACAGTTCCCTTTTTCCTTTTGAAAATTAAAAAAAAATGACCAAAGCTAAAGAGCAAAAATAAATATTGTTCCCTTTTTCCTATTATTATATATATCCACAAGTGATTTAATGTTTAACCAGTTTTATAGTCCAATGTTATTTAATATTATTGGTTGTGTTGTAAAACAATATATGAAAAACATAAATAAAATAAAATTTAAGAGGTGTATAAATATTTTTTTAATAATATTTTCTCAACGTACAATTATTCTCTAATCCAACAAGTTACAAAATCAGTTAGATCAAGAGAGAGAAAAAAAAAACTATTAGGTTTTGCAAACCACAAGAAAATGCAATGGTTTTCAGCATCCTTTGATTTGTAAGAGTGTATGTCAGCTAGTTAGGAAATAAATTAAAAAATTATTTTAATAGTTTTAAAATATAAAAGTTGTACGGGAATTAAAGAATTGAAGCTGTTAAAAAAGTTTTAAAATAAAATACAATAGTTATTAGGATTTTATAATTGTTAAAAAATTAAATTTAAATATTTAAAAAATTATAAAAGAGGAAGTTTAGAAAATACAGGCGCCGTCTCGCGCTATAGGAAGAATCAGAATTTTTACTTTTATTTGACTTAACGTTATACGCTTGAACCTGCTATTTTTTTTTTTTGTTAGTAACTACTTTTTATTAAAGTTTATTATACACAAACCAGAAAAAAAAATTATTTTTTTAATATAGGATAAAAAACTATATATATATACATATATAAGATGAGATAAAAACTTTTTTAAATTATCGTATTATTTACAACAGTCAATGGAATCTTGGTTTCTATCAAACAAACGTCAAGAGTTGAATTTTTCGAGCTCTTTGGGCTGGAACAGGGAGTTGCTAGATTTGGATTTGGCCAATGGCTTAGCATGGAATTGACAGGGAATCACTTTCTAGCTAGCTCATTGTTCTCCGCCACCCCGCAAGTCACAGTAAATTGTTTTTGTTTTTTTAGGTATTGGTGACGTGATTTTTTTAAAGAAAATTTAATTTTAATTATAAATTAAATAATATTTCTATCTAATATTGAGATTGAAAATTATTTAATCTATCTTGGTTAATTTAAATTGATCTGTAAAATTTATAAAGAAAATTTTTTAAAAAATTAAAAAGTTTAGTTCCAAATTAATTTAATATTAAAAAATAATATTTAATTAAAAAATAGAATGAATTTGAATTAATCAAGTAAACTTAAATAAAAGTTATGTACATTACTTGATTCAATAAAAAATTTATTTAAGAAATTATTTTTATTTAATTATATCACAATAAAATATATGATTTTTTTTAATACAATATATTTTAAAAAAAATAAAAAATCATGTAGGGTCAAAGTAACAGGAGGTAGATTGTTAACAACAAATATGAAATTATATTTTTTTAAGTTTAAATAAAATAAAATAAAATAAATCATGATAATAAAAAATAAAATTATATTATTTTTTTAAATTAAAAAACAAATATTACCTTTGATGTTGCATATTAATCCATCAAATTACTACTAATGTACATGAGGATAATAATATTCAAAGTGGATAATATATAACTTGTTGGCTTAGATTATTACAACCTAAATAATCAATTTAATTAAATTTAATAATTTATTTTATTAATTTTTTTAAAATTAAATACAAAATAAAAAGAGAGCATTTAGTCAACATGGATATGGTCTTATATATATGACTTTTTATTACAAAAATATATCTTAGAATAGTTAAAATAATATTTGAAAATGCCATGCAAATTTAAAAAAAAAATTAAAAAAATTATATTTTATATCGTTTTAATATACTAATCTTAAAGATAATTTTTAAAAAATAAAAAATATTATTTTGATATTTTTTAATATAAATTTTTTTTAAAAAAATAATTACATCTACATTCCTAAATAATAGTAAATATTTAGTAAAACCACTACCATGTGTATCTATATAAAATAGTTAAAAATAATAATAATGTGTACATTATACCAATATATGCTTATATAATAAACGTTATCATAATCATATCTTTCCATGGATAAAAAATAATAATTAATTAATTGTTATTTTCTGTCCGTATTCTCTAATATACTCCGTTTTTATTTTATTTTATTTTTACTCAAGCAAGCAAAAATATAATTATCTTGTAAAACTCCATGTTGTTAAAAAAAATTATGCAATGGATGAACTTGATAACTTGTCGATATAAGATTTGAATATAACAAATATAATCAAGAATTAACCCGGTTAAATTTGGAGTTTAATTCAGTCAAAATCTAAATAAAAAATTTCCAATTTCCAATTCCCAATTCCTAGGGTTTTATAGTCGACGCCACAAAATCGAGCTTCCTCCTGCAAGGTGTCTCTTCTTCTACTTTCCAATTCCCAGTTCCCAATTCCCAGTTCCTAGGGTTTTGATTGCCCTCTCTCTCTCAATTCCTATTTTGGAGCTTCAATTTCCGATTTTTTACTAACTTAGACTCATCTGAAGACCGGATTTCTGATTCAATCAGCTTGATCGAACTGCAACCATCGCCACCGTCAATCAAGGTTTAATCAAATTCTTTTTTGGTTAAATTTTTCTTTTTATTTGGTTGTTGGGGTTTTGATTAAATTGAAAAGGTTTTTATTTTTTGGGGCTGTGATTAGGGTATTGAGAAGGGAAGATGGGGGCGTTCGTATCAAGGTTTTGGTTCATGTTGTTTCCGGCAAATGAGTACAAGATTGTGGTAGTTGGGTTAGATAATGCTGGAAAGACAACTACGCTTTACAAATTGCATTTAGGTGAGGTCGTAACGACACACCCTACAGTTGGCAGTAATGTTGAAGAGCTTGTTTACAAGAACATTCGATTTGAGGTGCTTTCTCGTAACTTACCTTGGATTTAGTTTTGACTGATCATAGTCTTTTTTGCTATAATATAGGGGATTGTGTGCTGTTTGATAAGTGGGGTGTTTTAGACTATTAGGTTGTGGAGTTTCTGGGCTTTGCTTCTTGGATTTGATAATTGATGGCAAGTACAAGTAGGAACTGGATAATGTGTGTTTGGAATTAAACTTTGATGCTGGAGAGTTTCTGTATTTCTAATTACTGAGTATTTTTCCATTTGGAATGATGGTTTTATTTTTTAGTAGTTATGCTGCTCATAAGGGATCTGTCACGTTCAAATCTATCAACGGATGTGTATTGTAGTTAGGAGGTCCTGTAAGTTGTTGCCTTGGTCTTTTCTTGAATTTCTAGTTCTGTTGTATTGATCATGCACGTTTTATGACTTTGTGTTATGTTAAACGATTCTTATCAAATAATTATTTTGACTACTGGCTTTCATACTATGTAACATATGGAAATGCAGTTATCAAATGTTATTCAGTCATATCATGTTAATTATTGGACCATACAGCAGAGCCATCAAATCTTCTTAGAGTGTTATTTATACAATTTGCTTGCAAGAATTAGTTTTTGCTTAATCCCATGAGAATTTGGAAACTTTAGTTTAATACAATTTTCTGTTCGAATTTTTTAGCAAAAGAAGCTTCCTTGATCGTGCAAATCTTGTGTGTGTGAAATTATGCTAGAAACTTAACCATGTTTGTCTATTAATGTTATCAGGTCTGGGATCTTGGTGGGCAAGATAGACTAAGGACTTCATGGGCAACATATTATCGTGGAACTCATGCTGTCATCGTGGTGATAGACAGCACTGATAGAGACAGAATCTCCATTATGAAAGATGAACTCACCAAGCTGCTGGGACATGATGATTTACAACATTCTGTTGTACTTGTATTTGCAAATAAACAAGACCTTAAGGATGCCATGACACCAGCTGAGATTGCTGATGCTCTTTCTCTTCACAGCATCAAGAATCATGATTGGCATATCCAAGCCTGTTGTGCCCTTACAGGGGATGGTTTATACGATGGTCTAGGGTGGATCGCACAAAGAGTTACTGGCAAAGCACCAAGTTGAAAGGGAGAAGAGTAATTGCTGAAGCGGATTATTTTTCAAATATTGATGAACTTGAAGGACACGTGAACCATACTGCTTCTTCATTTACTTGTCTTGAAGAATGTCATGTCTTGAGCGATGAAACATGTCCTTGAAAAATTGCAATGAAGAAAGTGTTGCTATAAAATTGTCGTTTTCCACACTATAAAGCATAGCATCGCACAACCATTACTTGAAAATCGTAGCATGTCTACAAGTCCAGAACTGCTGCAGGGACGAATTCAAGTTTTTCCTCCATGATTCTTGTAAAAAGAGAAAAAGCCTGTAAAGAACCGGACCCATATAAAGAAACAGCATGCTGGGAAAATAAAGAAGAAGAAGAAGAAGCGAATGAAATCCCTTTTTTCTTTTCTTAGAAGAGGTGCCAAACACCCAAAACTCGAGATAGTAAATTTTGGCTAGCTATGATTTTATTGGCAGTTGATAGTCATTACAAATGAAAATATCGTTCGAAAATATTTTGAAGTGTTTTT